ATCTATCTAAAGTTCTCTTAATTCTGTATAGAGGATTTCCTCCAGAATGATGACAGATATCTTTCTTACATTGAATTATGGAAAAAGAGTTTTGGTGGAGCAGCATCTTTTACTTGGGTAAACGACAGTGAATTAACATGTCCGAAATTGGAGCTTGGTTGGTTTGATTTTATGTGATAATGGCAAAGCCTTGAGGGCTATCAGCATAAGGAAAGAGATGCCTTTGTGTAAGACGTTCTAAGGGAAACTGGCTCCTATACACATTACATATGGGGAAACCCATGAAAATGCCATGCAGCCAGTCTCTTTATGGGATTTTTGAACCTCCGACTGAACTACCAGTGTTCAAGAGACTTTATTTGATAGGCTGCTGGGCTTGGAACTTCAGGTGGAAAAAATTAATGAAACTGTCTGCAATAATACAGTAAACCAGGGTCTTAAAATATGGGAAGATAAAAAGTTGTGAAGAAAAATATAGAACTTTTCAAAACATTTTGTGCAGGCTTGTTCAAATAATAGAATACATTTTTAGCATTCTAGGAACATTGGCAACAGTCAAAATAATATTCTGAAAATGCATATCACACTGGCTGAAGAAGGTGAAAGGTTGATTCATTGTAAAAGCTTTACAAAGCTGCAAAATTTGCAATGAATTTTTTGATGCCATTACAAATGGCAAGGAATTTTTGAAAAAGTTCACACTAGTGATAAATGCTAATAACTTCTTAATAAGATTTAGATGAGTTAACAACTTCTTTATCTAGATTTTGCAATCATAGGTATTTATTCTAATAGCTTTTATTTTTTGTTGTGAGTAGTTTCTCAGAATTGTCTCGGTTTGAGCAAAAAATATTGTGTTAAGCCTAGCCATTTGGTAATCTAGAATTGAATCAAATTTAATAAAAATGAATGTTGGTATGAAATTTTAACTCTCCCTTTTTTTTACTTAAATACTAAATGCTAATTCTTTTTTACTCTGCAAAAAGGCTAATATTATTTTAATGATATTTTCATAGCTGCCAACTCTCTCAGTAAAACCAGTTAAATTAATTAAGCTTCAGTTGTGCAAATTTCATTCTCTCAATCCCTAGTAATATTCAGCATATATTTTCATATTAAATTTTATTTTTATTTGACCTGAATTGTCTTAATCATGTTGCTGAGTTTTGTAAAACTTAATATGAAGACTCAACAAATGTTTAATTGTTAAATATTTGTATTTAATTTTGTTTTACCATAACATACACAGTCATTCGGCCCATTTTGGAATAGGGGACATGAACAAAATAGGCAATACATTTTTTTTTTTTTTTGTGTGGTGTGTGTGTGTGTGTGTGTGTGTGGTGTGTCATTTTTTGATAAATTAAAGCTTTCCTTCCATACTCAAAATCATCTGTATAAAAGGTATATAAGAAATTTATAAACTGAATTAGAAAAATGTAAAATTTAGAATATATAATTAAATATTAATGCATTTTACATCATAACCATATTTAAGTACAGTCAAAAGTCGTTAATTCGGACACCCATAATGATCTATAATCCAGACCTCGAAGCTACAAACTTTCTGCGCATGCGTCGCATTGACGCATGCGCATAGGCGTTTATGTCGCACGTTAAGATCTTTACGGCTGCGAATATGCGTGTGCGCATGCGCTCATAAACATTTACGCATGTGCATTTAATGTATAACATGGACAGTATAAACTAAGCTAAAATTATCTAATTCGGTTAATGTTGCAGATTGCGTTGTTCCTTAATCTTCGAATTGGATCCGGCTTATTATTTTTTGCAGACTGTTAGAGCAAGTAAGCTTAAACTTTCGAATTATGTCAAATAGAATTTCCGATATATATTTTAATATGTAAAGGATCTAAAGCGAAAATATGTTTCGAAATCGAAATATGTTTATCAATTTCATGCTGCCGGCGGGGGGACGCGCCGCTGCGCGCAATGAATTGGAAAGTTGATCTGTCAGCACTATCCTTATCTTCAGGCAGATGTTTTTATTTTATTTGGCTTATAATTCCTTACTAAATGTAGTATTTCATCTCGGATGTGCTCCGTCTTTGATATGATTTAAAACAAGTCCTTGTCATTATAATTCGCTTCCGATAGTGAAGAAAGTGACAGAGGTTATTGAAACAAAAAATTTTGATTGACAAATTAGTCGGGTATTCTCGACACAGCAATTATGGACTTGAACAGCAGAACTTTGTACTAACAAGAAATTGTCTGTTTAATAATTAAAGAGAAAGTATTACATTGAACGAAGCACTTAACAACTTACATTGAAAGAAATGTTTAATAAAGTAAACAAATAAATATTAAGCTTTTTCTTTTTGTAAATTTTGATACCCTTTAGATCATAATTGTTCTTTATTTCATAAATTACGGTTTCATATTTTTAATTTTGTAATTTCTGCATGCCATCTTATCAGATTTAAACTGATGATCTATAATCCGGAATCGCCGAAGTCCCGACGAGTCCGGATTAACGACTTTTGACTGTAGTTCAGTAAACTGAAACATGTTATAAAGGGAATATAAATCAGTTTTGAGTTACATTCACTTGAAACACTTTTAAAACTTCCCGGAAACGGCCCCTTTTTTTATTACACATTTCAAGGTTGGCAGCTGTGTATTTTCATCAGAATGTCAATTAATCTTGTTTCATGGCTGTGCATTATAAATACATTGGGAAAAAATAGATGTAAGAATATTCATATTAAGAAAAAAGATAATCAATAATAAAATTTTACATTTAGCTGCAAGGAACAAAGCTGCAGGAAAGTCTAAAGAGGAACACATACGAGAGAAGAAGCAAGAGCTTGAGAAGCGCTTGCAAGATGTTAGTGGTCAATTAGGCCAGCCTCCCAAAAAGTCTAATAAAAAGGGTAAGTTTTCTTTTATATTCTTCTCCTCCTCCCATTTACATTTAAATTTTAAAGTTATGTTGGTCTGTAACTGACTTTTTAACAGTTTAGCTTTTTGTTCAATTTACAGTGTACACATGTGGTTAAGTCTCATTTATTATTTATTAGAAAAGTAGCATTGTATGTAAAATATTAAAAGCTTTTAAAGTAATTCTGTTGTATCTGGATTCGAAAGAATTTATTAAATATAAATGATGAATTTGTCGATTGGAGGAGCTTATTCCAAAGGCAGTAAATTAAGTGGTGGCAGCATTCTTTAGACCATAAATGAGCACTAAATGTGGTGAGTCAATGAAAAATGATTGTACAGTACAAAGTCTGTAATCCGGACATCCATAATCTGGAATGATCTATAAGGACCTCAAAGCTACAAACTTTATGCGCATGCGTAAACGCATAATGAGCTTACACATGTATGCATGCATGTTTAATGTATAATGGACGATATAAGCTAGGCTAAAATTATGTAAGACATTTGCAATTTGCGCTGTTCCTTAATCTTCTAATTGGATCCGGCTTATTATTTTTTGCAGACTGTTAGAACAATTTTATAAAAATTAAGCTTGAACTTTCGATTATCTCAAAAAGAGTTTCAAATTCTGGAGCTGTCAAAGGATCTACGAAGCGAAAGCATGTTTCGATGTCCATTAAACAAAAAGTGGAATTGCTGCAAAAAAATGGATAAAGGCCTATCCGTCTCAAAATTATGTGAGAAGTATGGCATTGGATAGTCCACTATATATGACACAAGAAAAAGAAACTTTTTCAATTTTTTGTGGAAGCATCTTAAACAATTTACATTGAAAGAAATGTTTAATAAAGTAAACAAATAAATATTAAGCTTTTTTTGTAAATGTTGATACCCTTTAGATCATAATTGTTCTTTATTTCATAAATTACGATTTCATATTTTTAATTGTATAATTTCTGCATGCCATCTTACCAGATTTAAATTAATGATCTATAATCTGGAAAAACTCCTAATCCGGAATTGCCAAAGTCCCGATGAGTCCGGATTACGGACTTTTTACTGTAGTTGGTTTTGCTGCCTTCTGTATCTGTAGTATGCTATGATGTAAAATTTTTGACTGAGAATATAGCATATGTTTGATTAAATAAATCTGCAGTATTTCGCCAAGTGCAGCCAGTCTTATTATGTTTGCTGTAGGCTTTTTTGACTTCTGAACAACATCCATAGCATTCTTTAAAATTGGGCATATTAACAATGCAATATGCACATTTTTGATAAAACACTAATGTTAATTTTGAATGTACTTTATATAAAATGAACTTAAAACTTCTGTTTTAAACATCTAATCTTCATATGAATTATGTAAATAAGCACACATCTGTGTAATCACATATGGGGGGGATTAAATTTTCATTACACTTATTACTTAAAACTTTTGAGACAGTGTGTCACAGAATAGCGTTGAAAAAGTGTAACAAGTTTAAACGCATGAGTATTTACGAAAGTTCAAAATTAATATATATATATGTGTGTGTGTAGAGAATCTCATAATATCAGATTTCATATTTATAAATGCTCTTTCAAGAATTATTATTTTATAGGCCCTTAATATAGTGACAAAAATTCACATGTATGTAGCAGAATTTTGTATAATTTATGCAAATCATTGATGCAGATTTCAGGTGCAGTGTAATTTTTCAGTTACTATAGAACTTAAAATTCATCACTCTGACAGAGCTTTCACAATTTATTTTCAAAAGACAATGCATTGAAGTCCCCCCTCCCCCTTTTTAATGTCTAAAGCACCTTCCTCCCTTAAAGGCTTTGCTGATTCAATAATACTTTTCTCTCTGTTGTTAGCAGGATATTAATGTAATATATTGTGGCAATGTTTAAACTTCATTTGATTTTTGAGATAGCATCATCATAATGTTTTCTTTCTGTACATATTTCAAACGAGAGTTGTGATGGTCTTTTATCTCGTAACTGTAGTTTTTGTAATAGCTTGTGCATTTTAGAGTTCTTTGTTTAAGCAAACTGATCTAAAATTCTTGTTTTCAGCTTTTTTTAAATACATGTTTGTTGTTGGAGGATTATACAAAATATCAGATACGTTTCACAAAACTTTTGCATCTAATGCAGCTACAACTGAGTGAAATTTTGTGTGATCTGATGTGATACCAGATAAATTAAAATTTGATCCTAATTGTATGAACCATAATTCTAGGTTACTTTTCCTAATTGAAGGTGTGCGGAAAGCAACTCAAGAGAGTTCAACATTGCACTATAAAGCGTTATTTAATGTTAAAAAAACTGTAACTTATTAAATATAAACAATGAGTTGAGCAGTTAATAATTATAAGATAAATTTATTGATCTTGCTCTTTTTAAGAATTGGCAACTATTAACGTTGCTAACTTGTTTACATCTTGCCATTGTTGAGTAATGAGATTGTCTTCAAATATCATATTTGAATAAACTACCTTGAAATATGAGAAAAGTTCTCCAATTTATGACTCGATTAGTATTTAGAAATATAGTCATTTATTAAAAGAATAAAATAACTATGTACAGAAAGGAAACATCACGACGATACAATTTCGAAAATGAGTTATAAAACAATTTTGTTGTTCTAAGATCATCATTACTATGGCAACTTTCTATGAAGCTTATTGATTGCCGCAATACATATAGCTATTAATTAATAAATTATTCTAAAAAATATATTGTTTTTGAATTTTCAGATGCTGAAAACGCTAATTCAGAAGTTGCTGGTGGTCCGAGTCGCCTTAGTGCCAGTAGCAGCAGCTCTAGTGAAAGTGACAGCAGTACTACCAGCAGTTCAAGTAGTTCTTCAGATACGAGTGATTCAGAATGAACTCTCTTCAACTACTTACTTTATGTACCAAATCTGGCCTTAGGACACAGAGGATTGATGAAGCACAAATACGTGAAAGAAGATAGCTTGACATTTGTTATGGGCATCCTTAATTGGAAATTTGCGTTGTTAGCAAATGTCTTTACATGAACTTTTTTTCTCCTGTCAAGTTAATTGGGATTCCGAAGTTGTACTTTACAATTTTATACACAGTGTGATCTCCTGGATATCTTGCAGTTTTGCTTAATTATATACATTTTTGCTGGGCCTGATGGCTTTTGCCAAAATACTTCTTAGTGTGGGTGCTTCGAGTCTTCTGGCACATGTTATGTGATGCGTAACTCTGAGGTCAGTGTAACATAACTTATTCCACCATTTGCAAAAGCCAAGAGACATTATAGTGATGTTCATTTGTAAATATTAAATAATCATGAAGCTCTCATGTCATTCATCCCTATAAACAACTTAGCCTTGGCTCTTGAGTACCATTGTAAATCTACCATAATCACATTATCAATGTATATTTCATTTTCGAAAACTGTAAAAAATTCTGAAATCGTGAAGCATCTATGTGAAACTTGAATGTTTTCACTTTTTGTCTGTCAGTCTAATTTTTGTCTGTGTAGTTAAATTAACTTTTACCACTCTGAGCTGTGAAGCATCACTGGACATGTTTCTGTCCTGCATTACCTCAGGATATTTTTAAGTGCATAACTATTTAAATTGCAAGTCATTTGAACTGGTTTGATGTTACAGCTTGTATGATAACCTCAAAATCAAAATTAATTGTGTCTCCAGTCTGTATTACATATCCGATTCTTAAATTGGTAAAGGAAGGTAATTATTGGCCACTGATATTTAAATTGTTATGCTTGAGAATAATTTAAAAGACAGTATTTTTTTTTTTTTTTTTTTTTTTTTTCCATTTTTGAATTCAAAATACCCTGAAGTTGTTTTGGTGTCTTTCCATGTCAGTGTGGCAAGCAATTACTTTATTAATGTAGTCTAAATGTGGATATTTAAATCTGTATATTTTATGTAGGAAAAATCAGTTTAAGGATTACATTTTACTAAGTTAATGCTGCAATTTTGTGCATACGCATTGTACAAAAAGCTTGTGGGGAAAGGTTTATTTAATACAAAAAACTTCTTGTGGGAAAAAAATTATGGCATGTATTTTTCACTTAAAAATAATATACATGATGCTTTTGCTTCAAACACATCGACAGATGAAAATTATTAAATTTATTGAGTTTGGCTTATACATAGATGTGATAAATTTGTTTAATTCAGTACAAATTAAGCATGCAAAGTGAAATAAAGTCATTGCAAAATATTTGCTGTTTCCTTTTTCCTTTTTTTCTCACTTTGAGTCTTTCTGTTCATTTAAACAGATATTTTATAAAATAATTATGTATTCTTTAAGTTAGGTGCAATACTAAAATTCTATTGTAATTGTGTAATTTTGTAAGATAAGGATTTTTCGAAAGTTATATTTTTTTGTTTACTAGTATGACTTTTTTGGAAGGAGGGAATAAGTGTGCGTGATTGGTTTTGATACAATTTGGCAAACCTAATTTTCCATTTCAGTTCAGGCTATATTGAATCAGTATGAGCACTTTGATTATTGTATCTTTGACAAATTTGTTATATTTATTATTATTTTATATTTTACATTGAAATTAAGCAAAATTAGTCCTTAGATTGGCATTGATTTTTAGCTTTATGTCTTAGAAAAGAAACATGACACAGGTCTCTTCCCTCATTTTCCACTGACAGCTGATTAGTAAAGTCGCTGAACACTATTAGTTTGATCTGGGGTTCGAATCCTAGCAAAGAGCTGGCTACATGGGTGTTTTTGTGATTTTTCCTCATGAGTAATATGTATATGAGCCAGTTTCCCTCGAAATCCTCCATGAAGACAGGTAGCCCTCGAGTGCTTTGCCATAATCAGGGCAAATCAATTCTATCAGTGTTATTTAATATATCACATTCAGATTAACATGTAAAGCTCACATTAAACCCCTTCGCGCCGACTGTCATGTCTACGTGGCAGCAACGAACACACTCACTTCCCGGCCGACACGCAGGCGTGCCACAGCAATTTCCCGTTCAGCCCCGACTGTCACATATTTGTGCCAATGTCCTGGAACGTTTTAAAAACTATAATTTCTGCCACAAGATGGCACTGTATGTCCATATGGTTTCAGATACATGTACATTAGACCTTCTACTCGAAATGAGAGAAGCATGACTCACATACACGTGTTTTTGATTATATAAACAAACGGGGAAATAAATGTTTCCGAATGGCGGGATTTATGATGTCTCTTTAAATCGCACTTTATTCGCACGTGGTAGTTGTTTATTAAGTAGAAGTTTTATATGCGCTAAAGCGTTGAGTATTTCCGTTTACAGTTCAGTTTTTAGAAAATAATTAGATCTCGTTAGATGTGAATTCTTTCTGTTTTTACCGTTGCAATGTCGAAGCGTCGAAAATGTTTCAGAGAGCATGAAATAGCAGAAATGATGCAAAATATTTCAGATATTGATTCTGAAAGATTAACTGAAAGACATTTTCCAAAACTTTGTTCAGAAGAGATTGATAAGAAAATGAAACGACGATGCTTCGTTTGTTCACATTCCCGGAAAAATCCTCCAAACGGCAAATGAGTTATTACGAGTGCAAGGAATGTAACGTAGGACTGTGTGTAGATCCCTGTTTTCAAATTTTTCATACGAAAAAGAATTTTAAGTAATATATTTAGTTTTTAGATGTATAATGTTAAAAGTCATAAAATGGTGAGTACTGAAAATAAAATGTGTAAAATATGCATTTAAACAAGAAATAAGCTAATTAAAGTATATATATATATATATATATATATATATATATTATATAAAGCATAAGCCATTTAAGTACTCTATAGAGAATTATTAAACAATGCGTTGATACTTCGGAAATTTCATGGAGTTAGGCTTAATAGAAAAAAGGCTCCGGCCCTGGACAGACGCTTGCGTAAGACACTGCCGGCCTCCGCGATAAGCGCGCGTTTGTGCTACCCGGTGCGAAGGGATTAAACATGACTAGGAGAAAAGAGAAAGAAGATTAATAGAGAATTAGAAATTATATCAGTCTTTTGTTGTTAATTGTTATTAATCTCTTTTAATCCTTTATAAGTTTTCTCTGTGTTGTTATGCAGATGGTCTATTGTGTACACTCAGTGGCTATCTGTAACAGGTTAATTTTCTGTTAAAATTGTCCCAGAAGGTCTTAACTTGGTGAATTAGATATTATTCAAATTTTCTGTGTTATCAAAACCATTAGTTAATGATTTCCTAGTTTTCTTAGTTGGTTGTTCTCAACCTCTTTTGCCTCATACATCCCTTTTTCCATTGTTAGATGATCCCCCTCTTTCGAAACCTGGGTAAATAATTTTTAATGTTTTAAAATATAAACAAGAAAAAGTATAGAACATGTTGATAAATACCGGAACTTGAATAAAAGTAGGTTTTTATGTTCATAAACTAAGACTAGATACTTAACAGGTAAATAAAAGTTCTGCCCTGGTTTAACATTTAAGTTCCAATCAGTTTAAAATATATTCTGTTATTTCTTATGCATGTGTTCTTCTATCCTTTTCTTTCCATTTTGTTAAATAGATGGTGCCTTAATTGTAATCTTGTTTTGTCTAATTAAGTAATGAAATTTTGACAAAACAGAATAGATACTGTAGAGAGACTTTTATCAGATTCTTTTCGACATGCATAGCATAGCACTGCTATAAAATCGTAACCAATCTAAAGAGATATTAGGCCTAATTTCAAGTTGTTGCACTTCTCTTGTACTTTAAGTATGACGTTTCCATAATGAGTTCTTTTTTCATAATTGACAAACTCTCAAGGAGACATGAATTGTCAAAAATTATGCTACATGTGGTTTTAAATCTGATTTTTTTTTTAAATACAAATATTGTCATTTCATGTAGATACTTGATCAAAAGTCCTTGTTTATTTAAATATTTATTGAGGTAAATGGGAAAAGTTTTCAAACTGCTATAGTTTCTGCAGATCTGTTGTTATATGTCATCGCAGATTCAGAGGCATGTTGAAAGTGTAATTTGTCAAGCAGTGTGACAGGATTTTTTATAAGGATTGTCAAAAATGTGAGAAGATTCATAAAATAGGCAAAATTTTGGATATATTTTACCGGAACATTGCAGAACTGAATAAACTGTGAAAGTCAGTTTGAAATGAAATCTGTTAATTTCTTATGGTAAAAAGCAAGTTCAAATTGTTTAAACTGTAAGAATTGAGGTAATATCAACCTGCTGAAACAAAATTTTTAACACTGCTTTCTGTGAATATATGAGAAAAAACTTGATAATGTTTTTGAGCTTATTTTCTAATCGAACTTCTGTCTGATAACTAATGCTTTTTTTTTTATAAAGCTGTTAAATGATAAAAAAAAAAATAAATAAATAAATAAATAAATATTTAAATGTAAGTAAATATATATTTCCTGTTATGACTAATGAGTATGCAAATACTCTATACTAAAAATAAACCTTTTGGCTTGGTTAGAAGATAAATGTATTTTTAATTTTGACCACTTCTTACATAATTTGCCTTCCCTTTTTTCCCCTTATTATTATTAAAAAAGAACACTTAATTATTGAAATGAATAATCTTGATTAAATAATTATCTTGTAAAAGTTTGGAAAAGTAAAAATTTGATGTGTATTTCTTGCAACTTCTGTAAAAGTTTGAAAGCTGTCAAAGCATGCATTTTAATGTGTCATTCATATTTTACGTGTACCTTGCTAATTGCTGATCATTCTCATTTTATCATGTGCTGTTTGTTATTTAATTAAATTTTGTATAAAGTTCTGAAAGCATAATCATTCTTTTTTTTTTTTTAAACAATTTGGCTTCTGTTTTTATTGTTTAAGGAATTTTAATGGCAGTTATATCTGAATTAAAAAGTTTTAAAAATTGAGTATAATCATTGAGGTAATTAGTCAGCTTAATAATATTAAATCAGTCATGTTTACGATATTAGGTTATTTTAAGACTGGGTAATAGCCTCTTCACCAGATGTCCCGTGATTTAACTGGTTTTATTATCTCCAAACTTTAAATTAAAATTTACAGACTTTTGCATTGTATTTTTGCCACTCTGAAAAATGTGTTAAAAATTATTTGTTGGCTAAGGTGAAGGATTATGTCATTTGACTCTTGAAATCTATTTACCCTTTTTATTTAAAATCGCAAGTGGCATAATTTACATAAATTGAATTGCATTTGTTCAAAATAGTAATTAGAAGTAACATTTGTGTTATGCAATATCACATAACTCTTTTGCCAGTAGAAGCAATAGTGGAATAATATCCTATTGTAATTTTTAATTTAAATAATGAGATGAAAAGTAGATCCGTTTCTTTTGTTTATCAGTCGTAACAAAATAATTCATTTATAAATAAAAATTTAAATGAAAAAAGATTTGTATGCCGAACTTTATTATTCTTTCTATAATATGGTTTTATAATACCTTTTTAGAATTGTCTTTTTGAAATCTTAAAACATATATGAAATAATTTGGGTGATAATGATATGTAAATGCAGTCACTGACAGTAGAACATTTCTTCTATTTTTGGACAAAATACACATTTTATTTTAGATAAACTTTTTTGATAAATTGGTGTAAAGTGTGCTTGTTCTTGAAGAAGTACTTTGATATGTTTTGCGTTTTTGAAATACTAACCACCTAAAAGAGTAATTTTAAAATGTAAAAAATGTACAATGCTTTTAATGCGTTCACCTAGTATAATTTCGTAAAAATATTTATTTCTAATTAGATATCTTAAGGTTTAAATGAGTTTTTAATTAAAGGATTGGGATTAAAAAGTAGAGAAAATATTCTTAAGAATTGACCCTTAATTCTAATTTAAATCTGCAATAGCCTCTAAGACCAAAATCACTGCAAAAATTGCATTTTTTTTTTTTTTTTCTTTCCCCATATTTTAAATCTATATAAATATTGGAGAATTGAAAATGCACTTTTTCTTTCTAGAAAATATTTTTTTATATAGAATTTTGTCATGAGAAACTAAGTTGGCAGAAAAACCAATTTCAGATGTTATCGACTTCCCCCCCCCCAAAAAAAAAAATGAATTTCAGTCAAATTACAGTTAATTTCTATTTATTGCATAATATAAAAAAGTAAAATGTATAAAATTTAAGAAAATATGAAGCACTGAGGAAAAAATACTTTAGAAATGCAGTTTAGTATGATAGAGTTCAGAACAGGGTTCAAGGCAAAGTCCAACTTCACAG